CTTTTATGCCTCAAGTTAACATGGTTCAGTCTTCTAGCTTTTTGAACATATGGCATACAGTTTTAATAATTGTTTTAATCTCTTTTTCTTCTAGTTCTATCATCTGGGTCTTGCTTTTAAGCTTTGTTAGGCAGAAAGCAAAGCAGCATTTAATTAGGACTAATTTTACCCCACTACTGAGGCAGAATCTTTCTGAGTACTCTTCCTGATATCCCTGTAAAGTATGAGGTTTTCCACTGGGTTAGTAGTAATGGGCAGAAAATTCAGTGCAAGGTACGGGTTGTCGTTCATTGTTTTACACAGCAATATCCAGTTTTTCCAGAACCATTTGTTGAAAAGACTCCTTTCTCTTTTGAGTTGACTTTGCACCTTTGTTTAATATTACTTGACCTCAGTGGCTTGTTGACACTCAGACTGTCCCTTCATGCTCCTTATAGTGCTCTAGAGATTTTAGAGTGTTTTCTTCCACTGGACAGAGATTGCTCAGCAATGAGGGACAGGGGCTCTGGTCCCATTGACATGTGGGGCAGTTGACACATTCTGAGAACTCTGGTGGCCAAACTGAGTTTCGCCCTCCTGCGATGGGAAGGCCCAGGCAGTGGTCACCTGCTATCTGTTGCCTTCATTCTGCATCCTGTCATGTCTTCCCTTGTGCCCACATTAAACTGTCGAGGGACACTTTAAAAGAGAATGTTCTCTGCAGTGCTGAACATGAATAAATTATACAGGGTGGGCACAAGTAGGTTTACTGTTATGAGTACATGAAACAGAGTTTATTCTTGTGTTATTTATTAATTACTGTATTATTTTCCATTCAAACAACTGTAAACCTACTTGTGCCCACCTCTGTACAGCTATGTAGTACTGTACTGTACCTATAACCTGGCTGACTTAGGAACAGGATGTTGAGAAAAGTAAGCAAGTCACAGAAGGACAGGTGTTGGGGTTTTGTTGTTGTTTGGGTTCTTTTTGTTAAACTATGTGTGTATATGTCACACACAGAGAATGAAAATTACTCAGCCATTACATCATAATATTTCCCTGGCAATGATAAATGTTCTCTCTTTACACCGGTTAGACAGTAAGTGGATTTTTATTTGTACAGTCAGTTGTCCGAAGGAGGAAAAGCCAAATTCTTCATTGGCACTTAGTGTCTTTGTTTACCCTGAGGGCTCCTCCTTCTTCTGTTGGACTCCTGAGAATGCAGAGGTCAATCAAAGGCAGAGCCGTGCTGCATCCCGGCTGTCTCTGGGTAGTGAGGAGGAATATTCTCTCACTTGGGTTTCAGACTCACAGTGGAGAAGGAATGACAGAATCCATCCATCCAGGGCACCAGGGACAAGACAAGGAGCCAGGGAGATCTCGTCAGGAGTTGGCTACTCTGAGAAACCCCTACAAAGGCATGTCCCTTCAGACCACAGTCTGACAGCCACAAAGCCAGAGCAGATACCAGAGTGGTCTTACAAAAAGTGGATTAGGATCTAAGAGACCAACCAGGGCACTGGCACTGGGCCACCCAGTGAGTCGCTTCAGTTATCTCATGTGTACCCTGAGAATAACAACCAGGCTACTGCTCCCACAGCCAGCATATGGCCGCACCAGTACTAAAACCAGTTCTTGTTTACAGAGTCTCTGCCCTGGGCCAGGAGCCATCAGTGAGTGCTTTTTCAGCGCTGACTTGTGAATTTCTGTCTTCCTCTTTTCCATTTTGTTTTGAGGCTTCAGAGTCTAGAGGGAGAAGAAATGTTGGAGATGACCTGCCTGATTTCCCTCTTTCCCTATTTTTCCAGTGAGTACTTGGAATGTGCAATTCTCATATCTCTGCTCTTTTCTGGAAGCTTTGGGAGGATTTTGAGGTTTGTCCAGGAGTGAGTGGTATTGGACTTGTTTCTGAGAAGCTCCACATTAGAGGTACATAGATGGAAGGTTTGCCCAGGATCTGGAAGGGTACAGATACTAAGCAGTGGGTAGGGGAGCAGTTTCTATCTCCTAATGCCTTTTGATTCTCTTTTTCTCTGTAAGAGGTAGGTGGGGATGTCTTGTGGTTGGAATTAGTGTGGTTGTGGTGTTCAGAGAGTGTTGAAGGGTCTTGAGTGGGCGAGTTGGTGGAAGGGGATAGGAAAAAGCAGTGGATGGACTGTTGAGAAAGCAGAGAAACCCAATCAAGTTAACCACACATGGTCTTTGGAAGAGCAAAATCGAAGGGAAAAGGGTTGAGGGAACCAAAGTGCATTGGCATCAGACAAAACTGTGCTTTGTATACTGGCTCCACCATCAAGTAGTTCTGTGACTTTTGGGGAAATCTCTCTAAACTTAAGTTTTCCCATCAATCCTATAAGAATTCTTTCCCTTATAATTGTTGTGAAGATGGAAAACTATAATGCATATGACATGCTTGGTATGTAGTAAAATAAAATCTATTTCTGTCTCTTCCCCTGACAAAACAGAGGTTAAAAGCAGATTCTTTCCAGGTGATCTGCCTTGGATGTGAATGAAAGGAAACTCAGAAATTTCTGAGCAATAGGGGGAAATAGGGACTGGAAGCTTTAAAGGCTCAGTGACATCAGAAGATGAGGTTTTAGGAGTGAGAATAACTAAAAGGATAATGGGATGCTAATTTCAGAGAGTAGGCTATAGATCTGAAAGTTCCAGGGGTTAAGATGTTCTGGGTGCTGCTTTATTGCTGTGGAGTTGGGAGTGAGGAACAGTGAGACCAGAACGTGGTGTGAGCCATCCCCTGATCTCTCAGAAGGAATGGGAGTATTGGCTTTGGAAGAGAAGACTCTGAGCACATTCAAGGCCAGTTGTAAATGTTGGGGGGTAATTAGGAGGGCAGTACATGTGAGCAGTGAAGGAAATAAAAGTATTATGCCAGCATGGAGGGGAATGGTTTGGGAGCAGCAGTGAGGAACCTTGGCGTTGGTGCAGGACGAGGCTGGGGCATGGGTAGGCACTACTCAAGAGGGCCCTAGGACAAGGCTGTGTGCAGAGGAGGCCAGGCTTTACTTGTTAGAGGTGGGAGGCTTACAAGGCTTGAACCTGGATGCCTTGAAGTGAGCTAGTCTCTGGCAGCTGCTGCCACAGATGGTAAGGTTGCCATTATTACTCTCTGGCTGATCATCTTATTCTTTCATTGATATGCATGCTCCAAACCTTCTTCTTTTATCTAAAAACTATCTCCATCTTCTCCACTTCTCCCCATTCCCATTAACATGCATATACAAACACACACACACTCATCAGGCCTCTGTGCCCTGAAACCCTACCTCCTCAGGATGCCTTCAAAACTTGAGGTTTTGCCCTAACCGGTTTGGCTTAGTGGATAGAGCCTCAGCCTGCGGACTCAAGGGTCCCAGGTTTGATTCCAATCAAGGGCATGTACCTTGGTGTGGTGCATGAAGCAACTGAATTGACGTTTCTCTCTCATCGATGTTTCTAACTCTCTATCCTTCTCCTTTCCTCTCTCTGAAAAGTCAATAAAATAAATTTTTTTAAAAAGTAAGAATGAAGAAATGTTTATCTTAAAAAACTTGAGGTTTTGCTCGGCCAGCATAGCTCCGTGGTTGAGTGTCCACCTATAAATCAGGAGGTCAAGGTTCGATTCCTGGTCAGCACATATGGCCGGGTTGCAGGCTCAATCCTCAATGTGGGGCGTGCAGGCAGCCAATCAATGATTCTCTCTCATCATTGATGTTTCTATTTCTCCCTCTCTCTTTCTCTCTGAAATCAATAAAAATATATTTTTTTAAAACACACAAGCAAAGAAATAAAATAACTTTGTCTCCAAATTCCGTTGGCCTTTGCTCTTGTCATTACAACTTCCAGAGTTTTGAGGCTACTTTCCTAGAGCTACAGCTCAAGGAATTACTAAGATCTAAATGACAGTGTTCCCAGGCCTGTACCTTGAACTCCAAGAAGTACTTTCTCTTTTCTCTATATGTGAAGACAGGAAAAGAAAGGAGGTTATAAGAACAGAAGGATTGCCAAAACCGGTTTGGCTCAGCGGATAGAGCGTTGGCCTGTGAACTCAAGGGTCCCGGGTTCAATTCTGGTCAAGGGCGTGTGCCTTGGTTGCAGATGCATCCCCAGTGGGGGGTGTGCAAGAGGAAGCTGATTGATGTTTCTCTCTCATCAATGTTTCTGACTTTCTATCCCTCTCCCTTCCTTTCTGTAAAAAAATCAATTAAATATTTTTTTTTTTTAAAAAGAAGAAGAAGGATCCAGCTTGGACCAGCTCCAGAAAACAACTCCACCCAGGGGTCTTATGGGTATTCTGAGTGCTTCATTTTAGTCTCAAAGCAAGCTCAGGCCCAGCCTTAACACTTGTCATCTTTCTGTGTCATCATCCGCTTAGAGTCCATACTGAGCTTTCTGAATGACCTTGGCCATCCCAGAAATAGCAGTTCTCCTTAGCTCTGAATCCCTGAACTTAAGAACCTACATCCACTGGCCACATCTTACCTATTTTGTTTTTGTGAATAACAGAACAGCAGGCCTCCAGTGTCTGCGAACCAAGTTATTGCCTAACTCAAATCTTCCTTTGCTAGAAACAGACCCTTAGGCTACCTTTACTAATCCTTCAGCTGAGACTCTGGTACTCCTTTTTGGGCCTTAAGTGAGGCATGTGGTCTCTTCAGAGTTGAACCAGCTTCTGCCAAAATAGGAGAAAAGGGGCACCTATAAACTCAGTAATGGAGCAGACATACTGAGTCTTTTTTAGTGTGTTTCCTTGGAAGATATCTGTATGTAAATGTGAATTTTGCCTCTTCCCATCAGCTGATAAATTATTCACTTTTTTTTTTCTAATTTATCTCTGAAATTCTAAGAGTGTTCTATAATACATTGGCTTTCCAGAGCACAGGGCTCAGAATAAAAATCATATAACTGAAGCAGTACAGACACTGTTCTGAGTTATGACTCTCATACCTACAAGAAGGACATTGGAACTTGGCCCCCAGGATGCAGCCCTCCAGCTCTGACCAGCTCTGTTTTCCTTCCAGGGAAATTGTACTTCTTCTCTAGTGGCCTTCTGTTTTCTCACCGTCATCATGGAAGCATCATCATTTCCAAGGATCACATGAATTCCATTTCATTCTATGATGGGGTATGTATTTACTAGTCTGTGGCTTTCGTGTTCAGAAAGATACCCCACTTCTGAGGGGAAAACCAAATAACTTCTTGTCCTCACTCCACCTCCATGTGTCAGGATGTCAGGAATCAGCACTGCCTTTAAGACAGGCAGGCAGACCATGGCAAGATCTGACCACTCTCAGGGCCCTGAGCCTCATCAACCTTGCTGCTTTCTGTAAAAGGCTTAGCTACAAGGGACTTCTGGGTCAGGTGGGCCAGCAGCTACCCATGGGTAATTAACTCATCTCAAAGAGGATGAGAAAGTAGGCTGAAGAAGGCCTCCAGTGGCCCCTACCAGATGGCTTCCTGCCCAGGAACACGAAGCTCACCAATCTAAGAGCTGCTTCCTGTCCAGCCGGCATAGCTCAGTGGTTGAGTGTAGAACTATGAACCAGGAGGTCACAGTTTGATTCCCAGTCAAAGCACATGTCCAGGTTACAGGCTTGATTCCCCCCCCCCAGTAAAGAGCATGCAAAAAGCAATGGATCAGTGATTCTCCCTCATCACTGATGTTTTTATCTCTTTCTCCCTCTACCTTCCCCTCTGAAATCAATAAAAATACATTTTTAATAAGTACCCTAGAATGAATTTTGAGATGACATTTTTAGGGGGGAAAAAACAAAAAACCTTTGTACTTCCTATATCGTGTATACATGGGTATGGGAAAGCACCTCAATTATTGAACCCTTCCTCTCCCCCCAGAAAAACCACATAATATGAAAATCATTTCACTAAAATTTATTTTATGATTCTGATAGTAGTTTGGAGGGCTGGTATCATACAAATAGCTTTTCTCATTGATGCTCCCCCTTTTTTCTTTTAGGATTCTACCAGTGTTGTTGCTGTCCTTCTGATATACTTCAGAAGCTCATTACTTCCTCATCTCCCAGTTCATTTCCATGGTTCAAGCAATTTTATGATGATTGCCCTTTTCCCCAAATCAAAGATCTACCAAGCATTTTACCCAGAGGTAACATCAGTCATTAATGAGCAAAACTACTACTTTCCCCCCTACCAGTTAGGTGGTAAGGCAGCATCTCAACGAAGTGATGAGAGGGAGTGATGGGAAGGAGTGTTGGGGTGGCTGCTTCTAATCCCTTTGGGTTCTGGAGTGGTGCCTTGACATTGAGAGGTGAGAACTCACAGGAACTGAACAAAAGGCTTTTTAGCTTCTAAAAAAATCTTCCTGTCTCTTTAAATCCTAATTAGACTGATTTTCGCTTTAGCTACCTGGTTGAATTGTTGGGCCCTACCTACTGTATTAGAGCTCTCTGCCCCTCCTACCCCAAGTTCTTCCTCCCCATGGTTCAGAGCCCTGCCCTTGTGAATGGCCCAACCGGCAGGCTGCATATTATAGGTACTCAGCACAGATCGCATGAGTGAGGGAGCTTACTGAGAATTGTACAACCCACTTAGAGACGAAGAAATAGCCGAAGTCAAACAGATGGCCAGCCTTATGATGGTGGAAATGCTTGGAAATGTGTGATTGGAGCAGCTTATGAGAGGACAGTGTCTCTTCCCCCAGGACAGATTCTCAGAACATGGAGGAGACAAGAGCTAGCCTTGGCTGCAGATGGCATCTCAGGCCAGTCTGTGTCTCCCTCTTACTGCCTGCTGGTCCTTCTTACCTCCTTGTTCTTGTCCTTTCAACCTGGAACATGGAGGCAGCCTTTAGATCTCTTCAGCCATTCCTCTGCTTCCAGAAGGGAGCTTCTTGAACCACTCCTTCTGTCTGGCCTTATCACCAGGGTAGGACATGCCCTTCTGCCAGAACGTGCTACCCAACACCTTCTTTTGTGCTTCCTGGCCTTTGAAGGAGTAGAATCCCTGGGAGAGAAACCCAGAAAGAAATTCTGGTTTTGAAAAATACAGAACAAAATTGCTTCAGGTCTCTATTTTTGAAACAAACTTGTTTGTTATGATGGTTTGTCTCCGTACTGACAGCCTAGATTTTCAACAACCATCAAATCCCCATGTGGGTTCCATATCCTGTTGTTGGGTTTCAAGTGTTCTTTGCTCAAATTCTGTTTTGTTTAGGTCTTCTCCCTCTGGCAACAGCAGGCTAACTCAGGGCTGTCTTTAAAAGTGATCCAGGAAGATGGATTATCTGTGGAACAAAAGAGATTGTAAGTGGCTGCCTTCATTGTTTATGCTTGCTTCCTAAGCTGTGCATGCCTGTTCTCTCTGCAGGATGACTTGTGTTATGTAACACAGGGGTCTTGACTTCTAAAAGGGCCGACACGGTCACGTCAGTGCTGCCAACTTGCAGGTAGCAAGAGCGCTTGGGAAAATAGAAGTCAAGAAAATTGAAATCCACCAAGAATCAGAAACCCATTGTATTACCAAGGGTTTCAGGCCAGCCTTCCTATGCGGGCACACCAGTCACATTTTATTTTAAGTCACCAAGATGCTTGTTTTGGAAGTGTTGACTGTCACAGGACTCTTGCTTGAAAGCATCAAAACAAGTTATGTAAAGTATGTGCATCATAGGGATTAATATATTTTCATTGATTTCAAAAAGGAAGGGAAAAAGAGAAAGAGGTAGAAACAGCAATGATGAGAGAGAAATTATTGATTGGTTGCCTCCTGAATGCCTCACACTGGGTATTAAGCCTGAAACCTGACCGGGAATCAAACCATGACTTCCTGGTTCATAGGTAGATGCTCAACCACTGAGCCACACCAGCTGGGCTAATCTGTGAGCTTTTGATATTCCAGACATTCCAGTGCACAGAAGCTCTTCAGTGTCCTGAGCCATGCTGCCAGAGAGAAACGAAGTCCTCTAACGCTGCTCTCCGCCAAACTCCCAGAGCTGGACTGGTGAGCTCTGATTTTCTGTTTATAAATGTTTAATATTCTGGCTTTGAACTGTCAGAAACCTCAGTATTGGTCCTTTTTAAGCTTTTTCTTCATAGCTTCTCAGGGATCATTGTAAAAGTTAGTAGTGACACACCATATACAATTTTATTCTTTAGAGAGAATCTCTCTAAAGTTTCTTTTTCACCGGAGTTTCTTGGGTGGATGGGCACAGTAAGGCACGGCTGGTGATGCTAACACAAGAACATTGCCTTGCTTTTCTAGGTTTCTCCAGCATTTCGCCATCAGCAGCGTTAGTCAGGAGCCTGTGATGAGGGCCCATCTCCCTGTCCTACTGCAGCAAACTGAAATCAACCCTACTCACCGAGTAGAAAATGACAAGGTACAGCAGCTCACCAAATCTGCTGGAGTTCATGGGAAGAGAACCCTGATAGCCTGTCCTTGATCCTCTGTATCAGTTAACAAGAGCAGCTCAGGCAGAGTCCCTTCTATAGGCCCTTTCGCCTCTTTGGATACTGATGTAATGATGCACATGAAACCCGCTCTATTCAATGAGTACAAGCATTTACATTAACCCCAGCCAAGCCTATGGCAGCAATGAAACCTGGCACTCTGCCAGGCCCTCCCCTTCCTTCTCCAGGCTTTTCAAACTCTTGCTCAGTGTTCTCATGCAATCAGCTCTTTCTGGTTGTGACAGGACTTACCTGGGTGACACATTGAGCTTAATGAGGGGCTGGGCCTTGTTAGTTGGGCCTTGCTGGCATCACTAAGGTAAGCTGATACTGTATAAACATCCCAGAGTGGATTTTAATCTGCTCCCACCTCACACTCCCTTCCTCCTAACCCCTCCCACCATTTCTTTGGAGCCCTATGTCTTTATATGCTCAAAGAGGGCATTTCACAGGCTTTCTGTGAAAATCTAGAAGCCGCTCAGCTACAAAAGAAAATAGAACCAGTAAGCAATTAGAAGCCTCGTTTTTCCCTTAGGCAAGAGCTTAAAAATGAAAATGCCTACTTGTTATATTTTGTTTAAAGGTGTTGGAGGCCCTGGCCCAGTACTTACCCTGTTTCCCCGAAAATAAGACAGTGTCTTATATTAATTTTTTCTCCCAAAGTGGCGCTAGGTCTTATTTTCAGGGGATGTCTTATCTTTCCATGCGCTAGGTCTTATTTTCAGAGGATATCTTATTTTCGGGGAAACACGGGTAGTTGGTTAGTGTCCGGATTCACCAAGATTGCCGGTTTGATCCCCGGTTAGGGCACATACAAGAAGCAACCAATGAATGCATAAATATAATAAGTGGAACAACAATGTTTCTCTCTCTCTCTCTCTCTCTCTCTCTCTCTCTCTCTCTCTCTCTCTCTCTTCTCTCCCTCTCTCTCTTTCTCTCTAAAAATCAATAAAAAATATTTTAAAAGGTGCCGTAGGGCTGTCCTTAAAATAAGAAGGTGTCTGGCTATAAGCATGTGTGCTGTGATTTGAGAGGCTGAGGCCTGGGCACTGAAAAAAGGAAATTTGGATGGGAGAATGATGAACAAAAATTCAGTTACATGGAATACTCCCCATAGGGGCAGAGAGGGATACAAAGTAGGGGTCTGGTCGGAGGGGAGGTGGGAGAGCTTCTGCTTCCCAAAAAGAGGAGGGATCCATTGTCATCTCTCTGCTGCCCAGTGAGTGCCACCACGCTGAGTTTTAGTGTAAGTTGTTTGTGACCAGGCCTGTCCAAGTGAGTCTTGTGTATTGTGATAAAGCACATACTTAAAGAGGCCCTTGCCACACTATGTCACTTTTTCCTTTTCTTCCCTGCTTGACCCTTCTTTGTTAGTGAATTTGAGTTGCTTTACAATGTCTGCCTGCAGAGGGCCCTGTTTTCTTATGGCTGTGTATTAAAGTTGAGACAGTCCTGCCTGGTCCTCTTCTCCCCATCAAAATTCAAAGGACAAAAGGCCACCTTCAGCCTCTGCTTCAGGGAATTCAGCTCTTCCTCATGCTGGGCAACTTTAACGTAAAAGCATTTTACAAAACCCTGCATGTGGACGTTTTACTCTCCAGCGGTCAGTCTGAGCATAGCAAAGACAAGTGGAACCGGCTCTGAGTCGAGTTGTAAGAAGAAGCTGACACCTGCATTCCAAGCCAGTTTTTAATGCCTAGTATCCTACAATGTATACTCTTTGCAGCACTCAGGACTTCACCCCACTAATCATTTTTATTACGGTAAAATATATGTTTAAAAAAAAAAACCTCGGGGGGGGGGGGGGGGCTAAAAAATGCTTCCTACACCAGTTTGTTTCCTCAGCTCAGGCTATGCAGCTTGGAGGACAGGGCAGCCGAACAAAACATCTTACAGGGCCACTGGTCTCCTTGGCTAAGATTACTACACCAGTTGAGCCTATGGCATTTTGGTCCCAGACCTCCTTTCTGCCTAGTATTTTTCATTGTATTTTAATTGATCAAATCACAGTGTGCTCTATGGAAATTGTAATAATACTAATACAAAATTTAAAAAGTGTTTGCTATGTGCCAGACAATATTCTAAGCACTTTACATATACTAACTCTAATCATCACACCTATCTCAAAAGGTAGGTTCTATTGTTAGCCCAAGTTCATCACAAAGCTAGTGAGTGCTGGTGTTAAAGTTCAGACTCACAGAACCTGGCTCCAGCAGTCTGTTCTCTCACACAATACTGCTTCCCAAATAAATCACAAACCCACCTGGCTTTTCTTTCACGTAGGTCATTATCAGCATTGTAACTGGCCTCCCGGGATGTCATGCTAGCGAGCTCTGTGCTTTTCTGGTCGCTCTGCATAAGGAATATGGCAGGTTAGTATGGCTGCCGTCTTTGCTTTGGGAAAAGGGAAACCTCGGACATGTACCGAGCTTTAGTGTAACTGGTATCAGCATAGTAGTCACCATCCTTTCATTCATTTGACACATTTGTACTGAGCACTTTCTTTATGCCAGGCACTGCTCTAAGTGTGGAGAAGAAATTAATAAAACAGACACGAAAACCTCTGCCCTCATGGAGCTTTCATTCTCCTGTGGGAAGACAATTAACTAGATAAGGAAAATCGTGTATTAGCTAGTGACAAGTACGATGGAGAAAATAAAGCAGAGAAGGCTGTAGGGATTACTGGACTGGATGGTTGGGGATGGGAGCAGGGATTCCAGCTTTAAAGGGGGGACCTCACCAAGAAGGTGACATTTGAGCAAAGGCCTAAGAAAGTGAGGGAATGAGCCCTGGGTATCTGGAAGAGCACTGTAACAGCCGGACCAGCACAGAGGAAGGCCTGGGAGTGTGCCTTGTCAGCAAGGCAGTTCAGGGCCAGGGTGATTAAAACTTGGGACTACGTGAGTTCATGTGCAGCTGGGACATGTTGGCTCAGGTGAAACTGGGGAACCATTCATCCATCACTTCTACCTGGCTTCCAGGTTACTGAACAACCCTTGCTCACTGAACCAGGCATTTAGTATCTAGTCAGTCTACCTCAAAGTAAGGCATCCTGCCAGAGGCTGTAAGATTGAGAAGACTGCAGTGGCCCAGAGGTTTGGGAGTTTTCGGTGGGAGGTTGTGGGGGCTGAAGAGACAAGATTTAGAGAGATGTGAGGGAGATATTTGGCCTTCTTTATATAAGTACTAAGTAGTTAACCAGTTTCTCCCTCATTTCCATTGCTTTTGTTCTGAAATCAGTTTAAATTCTTCACTCTGCACATTTCTTATTCTCAGCAAGCATTTTACTGTGCACCTGACTGAAGCCGTTGTATTGAATGGTCCTTAGGAAGTGACTGCCTGGTCAGGAGTCTTTCTCAGCTCTGAAGTCCATTGGGCTTTTTCCTTGTGGCAAGGAGTTTCCTGTCATAAGCTCCAGTGGCAGTGGTGTCAAGATTGGGGGCTCTGCACCCAGGCAGTACCCTCTGCCTGTTTCTTGGTGCCAGGATTGCTCTCTCCTGTACAGATGGATTCACTGGGCAGAATGTCTGTCATTTGAATCCATGACTGAGCTGTGGGCCAGGCCTTCAGGTGGTGCCCACAGTGAGATTACACTTGCTATTTCCAGGTGGATGGTGTACCGCCAAGTCATGGACAGCTCTGAGTGTTTTCATGCTGCCCATTTCCAGAAGTACCTTTCCAGTGCCCTGGAGGCCCAGCGGAACCGCTCTGCCCGCCAGTCAGCCTACATCCGCAAGAAGACCAGATTGTTGGTGGTGTTACAAGGGTGAGCACTGGGAGTGTGGGGACAGTGGGGTAGGTGGTGACCTTGCCACTGCTGTCACTTCGTGTGTAGCTCGCCGAGGGCACAGAACAAACCCCACGTGTGTGTGAGCAGGGTCTGCACTGCACAGGAGGCCTTCAGTGAGCAAGGACTCCTGTTGCCGTCCTGTGGCCCAGAGTGCCTGGTGTAGCTTACACACACACGTTTTAGGTTTGACTTTAACATAATATTGCCAAAAGGTAGAAATTAGGGAGGTTTTCTAGGTAAGTTTCTTTGATAATTCTTATAACAATAGTGATCCCTAAGCCTCGTCCTTCACTGTTTAGACAAGGGAGCTTCACATGTTTCAGCCCTCCCTCATATGGAGTGGCAGAGACAGCCCCCACACTCTGCAGTCTCCAGCCCCACCATCCTGAGGATGGCTGGTCCAGGAGGGTTTCCTGAGACTGTAAGTGAAGAGCTTGATTAGCCCAACTGAGCAAGGAGCTCCCTGAGAGGACAGGTTCAAAGGATGTACCATTGCTCCCAGCACCCTGGCTGCAAGGAGCTTCCCTTAACCTCTTTCAAGGCCTTCCAGGAAGGAGCCCCATGCAGGCCCATCACCCCCTTAGAGGAGATTGTGCTGAAATGCAGGCCATGCTCTTCACTGGTGTCACTGCGATTGGTGATAAAGACTCTGATGGCAGTTCTTATAAACTGCTTTTGTGCTATGCTGGTTTTTGTGCTTGTAATAATGTTTATTTGCAATTGGCTGATTGTTTCCAGTAAAGAAAAGGCCCAGATAATGGTGAGAGTTGGAGGAAAGCCAGGTCAGTGGTCCTGGGCAGGAAATGGGAGAGGCTGTGCATCCCACCAGCCATCATTCCTCTTCCTCAAGCCTGTTCTCACCCTGCCGTGGGCTTCCCTCTGTCAGCGCCTCTGTGGACTGAGGTTGTGGAAGCCACAGAGCAAGTGTCTGAGTTTGAAACCACTTGTTTCCTTCTGTTTTTTTCCATTGCTTTTAATGGTTAAAATAATAGATTGGCCCCTGTCAGAGTTGAGAGTCAGTGGGGGTATGGACCTGGAGTCAAATTTGTCAATTTAACATTGTTCAGCTGAGGTAATTTTCCATCTTCTGTCACTTCATAGACCATCGTTGATTCCTTGTCTCAGATTGTGCAAGTCTGCAAAAGTGTCAGCTGTCCTGACTGCTCTGTACTGCAGTGACAGTACATGGCCAGCCCATTCTTATCCTCTCAGACATAGCCTTTGCCCAGTCACAGCCCTGGGATACTAGGGACCTCAGATTTCCTAACAGACTCAAGTGAGGAAACCAGCTAAATGTTGTGGCTCTCACTAAGACACTGTCCTTACAGACTGGGCCTATTCTCTTGAGGCTCAGCAGGGAACTTGTGGTAGCCTCCTTTGTAAATGTCCATCTCCTTAGGACTGGACCTCCGGGCCCAATATTGAGATTGCTGGTGAAGTGTGACCCCAAAGGCTTCTCAAATCGAGAATGTATTCCTTTAATGTTACTTTAATCTTCATTTATAGGATTTTTGGGGGGTAAACCAGTGGTTGGGGCTGAGTTTTATTTTGCCCCTAAAGTAGCCTGGTACCATTTGACTTACTGCAGCATTGGGGGCAGTGGTGTTGAGCTTTGGGATCAAGTGGAGCTATTAGTTGTTACTATAAAAATTAATGTATTTTGAAATTATGAAATTTTTAATGGAGGACAGAACACTGGTTGTCAGGAGTTAGAGAGGAGAGTGGGAGGACAGAAGGGAGATATGTGGGGTTATAAAAGCGATCCTTATGGTGGTGAAGCTGTTCAGTATCTTAACTATGGTCGTGAATATAGGAACCTACACAGGTGGCAGAATTCTATGGGACAACATACATATAACACACAATAAGAAAATCTGGATAAATCTAAATGTTAAAAATTAATTTAAAGGAATTTGTTTATACTTTGTAAGGTTATAAAATCATTCTTTAAATTATATATATTTAAAACTAAGTATTTCAAAAATTAATCAACTAATTAACTAATTACATAAATAAAATTAAGTATCTCTCTAAAAACAAAAATTGAATTGTGCCCAGTTGGTGTGGCTCAGTGGTTGAGAGTTGACCTATGAACCAGGAGGTCACAGGTTAGATTCCTGGTCAGAGCAAATGCCCAGGTTGCTCAGAGCACATGCCCAGGTTGCAGGCTCAATCCCCAGTATTGGGTGTGCAGGAGGCAGCCAATCAATGATTATCTCTCATCATTGATGTTTCTATAGCTCTCCCTTCCTCTCTGAAATCAATTTTAAAAACGTATTTTTAGCCGAAACCAGTTTGGCTCAGTGGATAGAGCGTCAGCCTGTGGACTGAAGGGTCCTGGGTTCGATTCTGGTCAGGGGCATGTAGGTACCTTGGTTGTGGGCACATCCCCAGTAGGGGGTGTGCAGGAGGCGGCTGATCGTTGTTTCTCTCTCATCAATGTTTCTGGTGCTCTATCTCTCTCCCTTCCTCTCTGTAAAAAAAAATCAATAAAAATATATTTTAAAAAATAACAAAATAAAAACGTATTTTTAAAAATTGAATTAATGTGAAACATGTTCCCAAATTCTAGGCTTAAATTGCAAACATAAAACGGAGCCCAAAGGACTCCGGGATATCTGTTATTTCAGAGGAAAGAAAGTTAAAGTCCTGCTGGGGTTTTGTTTTGGTTTTGGTTTTATTTTTAATAAAGGTAGTACAGACAAAAAAGGCAAACATGAAGAACCAGTTTTTTGGCCTTCATCATGCATTTAGGCAGTTTAGCCAAAGTGGCCGGATGCAGTCTGACAGCTGAAGTGGCCTGCTCCTTCGGTGGTGAGGACTGCCTCCTGTTTGGAGGCACGCCTAGTATGATTGCTGTAAGGCAGGGGCTGGGGAGAGAGGAAGGGTCTAGCAGAACCCCTCAATAAGTAGAGTGAATGACACTTAGGGCTTCCTTTCTTGCCATAGGGACTCTTGGCTGCAGTGAAGAAGTGCATCATGTAGATGCGCTGGCCTCACCAAGGAGCCTGGGGCCTCTTTCTACTCTAACCTTTTTCATTAAAATAAATGAAGATTAATGGAATGCTCTGAAAACGTGGGCATTCCCGAGTCACCCTCTCTAAGGGGTGTTAGAATTACCAAAAATTGTGTTAGAATGACCAAAATCTGCAGGACTGGCTTGTAAATCTTTTTTTTTTTTTTAATAGTTCATTAATTCATAGAAAGAGAGGAAGGGAAAGGGAGAGAGAGAAAAAGAAACATAGGTGTGAGAGAAACATTCATCAGCAGCTTCCAGCATTGCCTCAAGCCCATTTGTGCCCTGACCTGGAATCAAACCAGCAACCTTTCGGTGCATGGGACAACACCCAACCAACGAGCCACACCGGCCACAGCTGTAAATCTTTTTCAGTTATTTTTTATCCTAAGAAATGAGAGTGAACCCCTAGCTGGTTTGGCTGAGTGGAAAGAGTGCTGGCCTGAAGAATGAAGGGTCCCAAGTTCAATTCTGGTCAAGGGCACATGTCCAGGTTGTGGGCTCCATCCCCAGTAGGTGGCATGCCTGGAGGCAGCCAATCAATGATTCTCTCTCATTATTGATGTTTCTACTCTCTCTCCCTTTCCCTTCCTCTCTGAAATCAATAAAAATATATTATTAAAAAAAGAAAGAAATGAGAATTTCTATAGGCTCCTACCAAATATGGAAATTTAAAAAGCTCCATGTGTGCATGCATATAAACCTAACCAGTGGTCATGGACAACAGAGGGTGGGCATATGTGGGGAGGGGTTTGGGAAGGGAATGGGGGGATGAGGACAATTAATGTGATACCATAATCAATAAAGACATTTTTTAAAAATAAAAAATAAAATAAAATAAAAAAATAAAAAGCTCCAAAGACTTTTTTTAGAATCAGGGAAAAGCTCATGCTGAGGAGCAAGGCTGGGACACTTAACCACTGTTGCTCAAGCCATTTGGCATTCTCCTTTTTCCCCTCCCCACTCTACCATCCCAATCAATAAACTAACCACTCCCCTTTTTCCCGCAGCTACACAGATGTTATTGATGTTGTCCAGGCCCTGCAGACTCATCCAGACTCAAATGTCAAGTCTTCCTTCACCATTGGTGCCATCACAGTGTGTGTGGAGCCCCTGAGCTGCTACATGGAGCACAGGTACACTCCTAAGACCACCTCCAGCCCACAGGACATGGTGTGTTTAGTGTACAGAAAGCAACACACTAGAAGGAGACACATCTTCATGTGTTTGTCTTGTGGAACACATCAGTCTACCTCAGATACAATAAATGCTCAGCTGTTACTGGGTTAGTGCCCGGTTCTAGAAGACCCCTTTGGACTGGCAGGCTCTCCTCACTTTTCTTTGTGTGCTGAAGAGGCAGTGGAACTGGGAGCAGCATCTCCCAGAAAGAAATGCCCAGGGCAGCAGATTCTTTTGTCTTTACTGCATGGGAGGGACCTGTGTCCCAAGGCCCTTGAAGTCTCTCAAAGATACTTTTTCATATGGTGAAGCCATCGTAAAGCCATTTTACCTCAGTTAATGACTCTCATTCTCGCTACCAAGCGGGGAACTTTTTTTTTTCTCTAACTTTGGAAGTTATATAAGAACAGCAAAGAAAATTGGGTAATAATTCTTCCATAAGCTCACTAATTCAATGTAACTATTATATTTGTGAATTCCTTTCTGATGTTTTTTTTTAATTCGTTATTGTTTAAAGTATTACATATAGTATTACATATGTCTCTTTTTTCCCCATTGACCTCTTCTCAGCATCCTCCACCCCCCATCCTACTTCAGCATCCCCCACTCCCCACCTACCTCCCTGCCTTCCCTCTGAAGTTTGATGGTCTGTTTGATGCTTCTCTATCTCTGGATTATTTTTGTTCATCAGTTTATGTCGTTCATTATATTCCATAAATGAGTGATATCATGGGATATTTATTTTTTTCAACTGGCTTATTTCACTTAGCATAATGCTCTCCATGTCCATCCATGCGGTTGAAAAGGTAAGAGTTCTGCTGAAACCGGTTTGGCTCAGTGGATAGAACGTTGGCCTGCAGACTGAAGGTTCCAGGGTTCGATTCCGGTCAAGGGCATGTACCTTGGTTGTGGGCACATCCCTGGTAGGGGGTGTGCAAGAGGCAGCTGGTTGATGTTTCTCTCTCCCGTCGACGTTTCTAGCTCTCTAGCTCTCTTCCTATCTCTCTGTAAGAAAAATCAATAAAATATATTAAATTTTAAAAAAAAAAAAGCAAATCAGTGAATGCACAAATGGGTGGAATAACAAGTCAATGTTTCTCTCTGTAAAAAAAAAAAAAGGTGGAAATAGGGCATAATAGACTTGCTTTTTTCTTTCTGTAAAGTGGGGTTAGTATGGCTTTTTTTTTTTTTTAATCTTTATTGTTCAGATTATTACAGTTGTTTCTCTTTTTCCCCCCCATAGTTCTGCTCCACCCCATGCCCTTACTCGCCCTTCATTGTCCTCATCCATAGGTGAATGATTTTTGTCCATTCTTTTCCCGAACTGGTTTCGGCTATTCATCAGATTTTTTATTCACTTGATTTTTAGATTCATTTGTTGTTAGATGTGTATTTGTTGTTCATAATTTTTATCTTTACCTTTTTCTTCTTCTTTCTTTTCTTAAAGAATACCTTTCAGCATTTCATATAATACTGGTTTGGTGGTGATGAACTCCTTTAGCTTTTTCTTGTCTGTGAAGCTCTTTATCTGACCTTCAATTCTGAATGATAGCTTTGTTGGTAGAGTAATCTTGGTTGTAGGTTCTTGCTATTCATCACTTTGAATATTTCTTGCCACACCCATCTGGCCTGCATAGTTTCTGTTGAGAAATCAGCTGACAGTCCTATGGGTACTCCTTTGTAGGTAACTATTTTTCTCTTGCTGCTTTCAAATTTCTCTTTGTCTTTTGGCCTTGGCATTTAATTATGATGTGTCTTGGTGTGGTCCTCTTTGGATTCTTCCTGTTTGGGGTTCTGTGCACTTCCTGAACTTGTAAGTCTATTTCTTTCACCAGTTGGGGGAAGTTTTCTGTCATTATTTCTTCAAATAGGTTTTCAGTATCTTGCTCTCTTTGGCACCCCCATAATTCTGATGTTGGTACACTTGAAGTTGTTCCAGAGGCTCCTTATACTATCTTCATATTTTTGGATTCTTTTTGCTTTTTGCTTTTCCAGTTGGGTGTTTTTTGCCTTTTTGTATTTCAAATCTTTAACTTGATTCTTGTTATCTTCTAGTCTGCTGTTGGATCTTTGTATGTTATTTTTTATTTTAGTCAGTATATACTTAATTTCTAGTTGGTCCTTTTTCATTTCCTCAATGGTCTCACTAAATTTATTGGCCTTTTCTAGAAAATTCTTGAAAAACCTTATAACCATGGTTTTGAACTCTATAATCAGTTGTTTGCTTTCCTCCATTTCTTTCATTTATGATCTGTGTCTTTATCTCTGCATTTTAGCTGTGGGGCCTTGGGCCTTCTTTTGGATGTTCTGGGTCTCACTGACTCAGGTGTAGTTTTAGTTTAGATATCAAAGGACCAGGTCATTCATATGCAAAAGACTCTGCACTCAGCTTGGAGGGGTAAAGTCTCAGGGTGGAGCAAACAGCAATGGCTTTCCTTCAGCCCTGCCCTAAGAGGCCCCCCCAGTCTCAGTGTCCCACCGTAATTGCTGCAAGCACCTCTGAGAGAAAGCCACCCTCAAGTTCCACCCGCTGCCAGAAAGTCCATTTTCTCCCCATATGAGTTTGGGTCCCCAGAGTCTTGCCTAGAACTGGAGTTCAGAGCAGTTGGGAGCTTTTGTCTCCCTCCCGCTTTAAAAAGCCAGCTGCGTACTCAGTTGCCAGTCCTCTCTGCGCACATGTGCGTCTCTGTACCTTTACAATTTACTTCCACATCTCCTCTGAGTCTTAGTCTTTTCTCTTTCCTTCTAGTTGTAGAATTTCCACTCAGTGAGTCTTCCTGTGGTTCTGGATGATGTCCATTTTGTCTTTTAGTTGTAGTTTTAAAATGTTGTGTGAGGTGGCAAGTCAGGTGTTTACCTATGCCACCATCTTGGTTTCTCCAGTATGGCTTCTTTAATCTAGGAGGTGGACCAGATTCAAGATGGATCTATGTGATATTTGCCTGATGTCTTTATTTTAGTGGGTTTCATTCATTGAATTTCTGTTGAGTGATTGCTGTATGCCAGCACCGTTCTAATCATTGAAGGGGCAACAAGAAACAAGTTAACCCAGGTCTCTACATTTTTGTGGATATGCACATGAGGATTTTGGGACACATGTTTTGGGGAAAATTAGATCAGTATCATTTATTGATTGACTAAGATTTTATATAAATCAGGTACTTGGTTGGAACTTGAGAAAATGTATGTTACCATACCTATATAAGACTTAGGAGTATATTATAACCACAGCTGTTTTAGTTATTCAGAGGAAGAGCTGGTCAGCAACCACTATAGTATACCCATTATTTCAGTGTTTGGTGGTACAGAACTTGTCTGCTGTGTTTAAGACTCCTAAGCCAGGCACTCTTTAATATTACAGTTTTGTAGGGATGCTCTGTTTGTCTGGCACTGTGGTGCTTTACCCCTCTCAATTCTCTAAATCCTCCTTTAAGGTAGGCTTCATTGTCATGTTTTACCATGAGAGAGTCACTCAGAAAAATTAATTTTCAAATGGTACAACAATGTCACGTACATAATTAATCATGATATAGAATAGGAAGTGCCGCCGAAGCTGGTTTGGCTCAGTGGTAGAGCGTCGGTCTGCGGACTGAAAGGTCCCGGGTTCGATTCCAGTCAAGGGCATGTACATTGGTTGCGGGCACATCCCCGGTGAGGGGTGTGCAAGAGGCAGCTGGTCGATGTTTCTCTCTCATCGACGTTTCTAGCTCTCTATCTCTCTCCCTTTCTTCTCTCCATGAAATATCAATAAAATATATTTAAAAAAAAAAAAAAAAAAAAAAAAAGAATAGGAAGTGCCATAATAAAAGATACTTTGATTAATGCAATTTTATACAAATTACAAAGAAGCGGTGACAACTCCTATTTGAATTAGAAAGAAAGCCAGAATATGAATTTGAAGGACTGGGATCCCAAAGATGCCAAGATATGAGAAGTGGCATTCCAGTTTTAGGGAATCATATGTATGTGCAAGTCTGTGTGTTCTGAATGTTTTCTTTGCAGATGCTTAAAGGGAGCAGCTTGATGACCCCAGGCCCTCTCAGATCCCTTAAGTGGGAACTCTGCTGCCCTATCTAAAATGCCTGGCTATTAGAAGCTAGCAGGGTACTAAGAAGGGCCTTTTAGGGCATGTACTCTCAGGTCACAAGCACTTGCTGGGTACAGACACTTTCTAACAATGTATTTGCTATAGGGAAAGAGGGCATGCAGTGAACGGTGAGTGCAGGGAAGTCAGTGAGTTCTTGGGAGACTCTGGTGTGGATGTTCTAGGGCTCTTGACCTTGCTCAGAGCACATAGGGGATTCCTTCTTGAAATTATTCAGACCCCATGAGGTAGTCAGGCAAGAGCAGCCCAAAAAGTAGTAATTAATCTAGCTCACTCACCCACCAAATTCGGTTCCAAATGATGTGTGCCTGGGTGTTTTTAGAAATCAAATAGAAAAATGAACTCTTGCCACCACCAAGGAAAATCCCTCCAGTGTTTTGAACAGCATTATTACCTGCCACACAGGCCAGAAACAGTTCAGAAGTGTGGCTTCAGTAAGCATCCCACTTGCAAAGAAAGAAAACAGGAGCTCTGTGGTGCCAAGCAAACCTGGGTCCCTGCATCAGCCCTCCCACTTATTAGCTTCATGTGTGGCCTTGGGCAAAGTGCTTAGACTGCTTAGTCATCATACACCCACTCTTCTCAGCTTTTAAGACAGAACAAAATTGTGTATGTGTATGTGAACTGCTTGCATAGGGCCAAGTCCTGTGGTAAGATAAAAGACAGCTATTCTCATTAGTGTTACTATTCTTCCCTGAGAAGAGCACTATGATGTTTTAGGAGTTTTAAAGCACTGAGAGTATGGTATTTTCTCTGGGACTTCCTACAGAGCTCCAGTTATTAACTAACTCACACTTTGGATCAGTCTCCCTCACCTGCTTCAGTTGTGATCCAGTCAGTTTCCTGTTTTTCATTCACTATTAGAGGTCAGAATGGGATTAAAGGGGAAACAGGATTCTAGTGTGCACATGAAGGGAAACATAGCAACTTTGGTATTGAAAGCCCCATGAGTGAATGTAATTTTTCTCATTTTCCTTAAATTTCCCCTTTATGAAGATAGTACCTTTAAAAAAAAAAATCTAGTTCTCTTTCTGTTTCCTATAGTCTAGAGACTGGCCATGCTCAGGTAGGTATCCCCTCTTCGGCATTCCACCAAGAGTTGGCCACGTAGGGACCTTTCCTGGTTTAAGGAACCCTGATTTGGTTCAAATCTGTGAAAACCTCTTGAGTAGCCATGGCTATCCTAATGCTCAGTGCTTCCTGCCGCTTGCCCCTTGAGTAAATCTTAGGTATCAGGGATATGCTCATTTTTGTGGGAAATAATGACAGCTCCGACATTATGGTTTTAAAATATTTCTTTTTCCTCCCTAGATTTCTCTTTCCGAAATGTCTTGACCAGTGTTCACAAGGTAAGCAATGGGCTTTACTCCTGTTTGCATGACTTTCAGATTCTGTTTAGATGCAACAGACATTTCTTCATGCTCCTACCTATTATTCTAAAATCTAAAACAAATACATTGGTACAGGGAAAACTTTGACATCTTTTATTTTTATATTTGATCGGCAGATTTCTTCCACAGTTAGTCTCTTAATACTGATATATTGCCATGGCAACACCTTTCCTGAGCTGGGTTTAAATCTGCCTCTTGCCTTCCAACTAATATCAGTGGACTGAATAGGTATTCCTAGCCACTGGAACATCAAGATCTTGCAGTTCTCCTGTCCCATGGGTGCAGAGTATGGCCCGATAGAACCTTCTCCCTTAATATTCCCCCTACATACACTGGAATTTTCCATACCTCCTTGGTAGCATTTAGAAAAATCCACCCATCCTATAGGTTACACTCAACTTTGCATTGTCTTACTGTCTGGAACCCTAGAAGCAGCACTTTTTTGTCATATTAGCTATGGTGCCTGGAGACCCAGAATAAATTCTAAGTTTCCTGCAGTGGTGATAAAATGCTCATTGTTGTCAGAAGACCTGGGCTCTGGGCTTCCTGAGCCAGCCCAGCAAGTAGATATCAGACAAAGAAATACGTCGGTGTCCCCAGCAGAGTTTTGCCCTGCTGAGCCCACTGCCAGTCCACAGGGAGCGGAGACAGCAGAGCATACAGAGATCCAGAGATGTTGTCCTGGGAAACAGCTGAGCTGGGTGCTGCACAGGGCAGGAGGCCGGGTCACCGGAGGGAGGATATGCAGTTGGACTGCTGCACCAGGAGTCTCAAGTCCCGCCTCCAGAGGCCCCTGTGGCTTTACAGGCATTTCACCCCAACAATTGAGTAGAATGGAGGTAGATACTCACAGTATCTACCCCAGGTAGAGATTAAGGAGATTTTTATGGAGGTTGGGTCAGTGGGATATGATAATAGGTTACATATGGGACATGAGTTAGAAAACAGATATCTTGGATGACTCCTGGGTTTCTAGCTGAGAGATTAGGAAAGTTAGTGGTGCCTGTCCTTGAAATAGAAAGCACAGGAAAAAACAAAGAACTGGAAGATAGCCAAGGAGAGCTGTCTGGTCCTAAGATACATGTTTGTAGTCAGCATCAAAGCCACGGGCGTGGGCTGTAGTCAGCTCCTGCCCACCACGTTATTACCACCCTCGTGTCCTTGCCTCCTGACACTTTCTCTCTCAGTGTCCGCCTGCTTTTTTTTTTTTTTTTTTTTTTTTTTTTTGCACATAAAGTACAGATGGTTAGGCTGCCCTGGCAAAGGGCAGGTGCTTTGTCTTCACTGTTCATGAGCCTGAGCAATATTACAGGACAAATTGCATTCTCTCTGGCACTTAGTAGGAATATTTCAATATCACTGTCTCCTAATTCAGTGTTCAAAGGCAACTTGTGTCAAATTCTATAAGGCTAGGGATGTGATCAGATATGGGCAGTCCACCTTGTGGCCACATATGCTGTTTTCTGAACTCCGGGGGGCTTGTGCAGTGACAGTGCCTTGATAAATATCTTCCCCTCGCATCTGGGCCTAGTGGACTGGTCTGGCTAGCTCACCATGGGCATGGGCTGCTTTGCGTGGAGGCGGGGGAGGGGGAAGGGGATAGGGAAAGGGGATAAAAGGCAAGGTCAGTTGACTCATGAACAATACAGATTTGAACTGTGCAGATCTGCTTATATGCAGATATTTTTCAATAAATACTGTAAATGTATTTTCTCTATGATTTTTTAATAACATTTTATTTTCTCTGGCTTATATTATAAGATACAGTATATAATACTTTTTTTTCCTTAATTTTTATTGTTCATATTATTACAAATGTCCCTTCCCCCCCCTCCCACCCCACCCTCTGCCCTTTCCCCTCCCCCCATTGTCCTCATCCATAGGTGCACAGTTTATGTTCAGTCTCTTCCCACATCCCCCTCTCCCCTTTTCCCCAAGAATCATCAGTTCACTCCCCTTCCATACCTCTGATTCTATTATATTCAACAGTTAATATTGTTCATTAGATTTTTTTTAATTTCCTTGGTTTTTTAGATTCACTTGTTGACAGTTACGTATTTGTTGTTCATAATTTTTATCTTTATTTACTTTCTCTTCTGAAAGAACCCCCTTCAGCAATTCATATAATTCTGGTTTGGTGTTGATGAACTCCTTTAGCTTTTTTTTATTAGTGAAGCTCTTTATCTGACCTTCGAATCTGAGTGATAGCTTTGCTGGATAGATTATCTTTGGCTTTAGGTTCTTACTATTCATCACCTTGAATATTTCTTGCCATTCCCTTCTGGCCTGCATGGTTTCTGTTGAGAAGTCAGCTGACAATCGTATAGGTGCTCCTTTATAGGTAACTACCTGCTTAGCTCTTGCTGCTTTTAATATTTTCTCTTTGTCTTTTGCTCTTGGAATCTTAATTATGATTTGTCTTGGTGTGGTCCTCTTTGGATTCCTTTTATTTGGAGTTCTGTGTGCTTCCTGGACTTGTAAGTCCAATTCTTTCCTCAGGTGGGGGAAGTTTTCTGTCACTATTTCTTTCAATATGTTTTCGATATCTTGCTCTCTCTCATCTTCTGGGACCCCCATAATTCTGATGTTGGATCGTTTGAAGTTGTCCCAGAGGTTTCTTACATCATCTTCAATTTTCTGGATTCTCTTGCCTTCTAGCTTCTGCAGAGGAGTATCTTCTGGCTCTTTATGTTCCAAATCTTTGACTTGATTCTTGCGATCTTCTATTCTGCTTTTAGGACTCTGTATAATAGTTTTTATTTCAGACAATGTATTCTTTATTTCTTGTTGATCCCTTTTCATATCCTCATAAGTCTCATTTATTTTATCGGCCTTTTCTAGGAAACTCTTGAAAAACCTTATAAGTGTGGTTTTGAACTCTATATCCAGTCGCTTTTTGTCCTCCATTTCTTTCGTTTGTGATCTATTTGGTTTAGGCATTTTCGCAGGCAGCTTTCCTGATGGGGCGGGGTTTCAGGGAGGAGCCTACAGCTTTGGCTTCCGTCAGCCCCGCCCTATGCGACTCCTGAGACTCAGGGTCCTTCAGTACTTGTTGTAAGCGCCTCTGAGAAAAAGGCGCCCTCGATTTTTGCCTGCTGCCAAACAGTCAATGCTCTCCCCCACTGAGCCTGGAACTGGGGTTCAGTTCAGTTGGAAGTGGAGCTGGAGGTGGCGTTCAGAGCAGTCTGGAGCCCTTGTCTCCTTCCCACCAGGCAATCCCGCAGCACAGCCGGCCGTCCCTTCTCTGCGCAGCGCCGCCGGGACCTCCTTTGGCCGCTTCCCCGGGTTCCGCCTTTCAGCCCGGCTCCCTATGGCTGAGCCTGGGTCCCCGGGGTCTGGCGTAGGCCTGGGGTTCAGAGCTGTCGGGGGCCCAGCACAGTCGGAGCTTTTATCTCCTTCCCGCCAGGGAACGCCCGCCAGGCACTCAGCCTCCCTCCTCTCCGGCTCCATCCTCTCCGCGCGCCGCGTGTCTCCGTACCTTAGGCTTTTCCAGCTCCTCCGCGCTTCCTTCTGGTTTTCTCCTTGCTTCTTGTTGTAGAATTTCCAGTCAGTCGACTTTCCAGTAGTTCTGGGTGATGTCCATTTTATATTTTAGTTGTATTTTATTAAAATTGTTGCGTGCGGCTGCGGCTAGGTGCCTGCCCGAGCAGCCATCTTGGATTCTATATCCAGATACAGTATATAATACTTATACAAAATATGTGTTAACTGTTTGTTAACAGTAGGTTATTAATAGTTCAGTTTTGGGATAGTCAAAAATTATATGTAGCCTAGCCCATGTGCCTCAGTGGTTAAACATCAGCCTATAATCCAGGAAGTCATGGTTCGATTCTAGGCCACCTGCCCGGATTGCAGGCTTGATCCCCAGTTATGGCCATGTAGGAAGCAGCTGATCGATAATTCTCTCTCATCGCTGATGTTTCCCTCTCTCCCTCTCGTTCTTCTCTCTGAAATCATTTTTTTTTTAATTATAAGCAGACTTTATTTTGCTATAATGCTCCTAACCCCAAAGTTGTTTAGGGTCAACTGTATTTTTCTCCTCGGTGTTTAGTAGCTCCCTTGGAGGTGGGATCTGACACCAGTAGACAAACACTTCATGTCCCAAGGGAGCATATTGCTTCCCTTTGCTCCTTTTCATGAGTCAGGCTCCCTGATTCATTGCTTTTACAGCAAAGGATTACTTACAATGAGAAAAGGACTGTATTGGAGTCCCAATATGATGTGTATTACAGAAATATAAGGATTAGAAAATAATCTCAGTGCTTAAAAAACTAGCAGGGCCCATTATAGTGTTACCTTGAATGCAGAGTGACACATTTTACTAACGTGGCTCTGCTCTTAGAAGTATTTATAGGTAGATAAAAGAGGTGAACTTTGTTTTTTCCAGGGCTACTAAAAGTCTTTCGCCCAGACTAGGATGGTCAGATAGACCTCAGAGATGTCTGGGCATTGTTGGGAATGGGCCAGACTTGTGAGACCTGGGCCAAATCTAGTTATCCACTCCTTGGTACAAACAGAAGGAAGCTCCTGAACCAAGCCAAATGAAACACCCACCATGGCCTCTTCACCCTGAGCTCCAGATAACTGCTGCACCTGCTGCACAGATGGCATTTCCTCTTGACAGGTGGCAGTTTGCATAGCTGGCCTAAGGAATGCTAGGCATAATCCTTTTGCTTGTTTCTATAAAGCAAAGCTCCTCTTCTATGTCCAGTTCTTGACCTAGAATTCCAAGCCCACGGGGTTTGCCTATGATGATACTTGTGAGGCAGACAGTACTTCAGGCAGAATACCTCTCACCTTTTCCTGGACAGGACAGGCCTGTTTGTGTCCTTGGTAGTATACATTGCTTAGGTTGGCATGTTTGCACTACTCTGACTCCAGTTTCTTTGGCCCAAGAAGATACTAAACAGAATCCTAAGATCTTTATTAGCTTTTACTGAGCCTTTCCTGGCTCCTCA